TATTTCACATTACGCTGTAAGCCATGTGGTGGATGTATCATGCATAAGTTAAGGCATTCCTTAACAGTAAATGAATCAGCATATTAAAATAGCAGGTTTTTAAAGCAAGTTTCAGAAACAAGAGTCGCTGTTCACTCTTTGATGAGACTAGATGAAAATATTAACACGTTATTGTATAATTTAATGATATGTAGGAATGGCAACTATTTGGTTGTGTCTTAGATACATCAACAAGTTAAAGCGATATTCAGTAAAAAGTGACACCATAAGCTAAAACGACATCATGGATTAAAGAGTCTTTTAGTAGTACAGAATTTGAGGTACAACAGCGACAAGTTAGGGCGTATAATTCGGGAGCATGTGAGGCTGTAAACTATTTGAGTAATATTACAAAGCACTCGCCAGAAAAAGTGTCACTGCTAACTATTTGGTGCTTGAGAGACACTAACTACTTAATGCATTCTTTAATAATATCAAATCGCACTACTGCTGTTTAGTAACGTGTAACATCGCCATCCATTTGACGGAACTATAGTGAAAAAAATTAGATCAGATGTTCCAAAGTCCATGCATAAATGTCCTTAATTTTGAATCACTGACCAAATGAAAGTCAGGCAGCGTAACAGCACCTTCTGCCACAAAGCCTTTGTCTGGCTCTTTGAACTGAACAACGGGATTGAATGCCACTTTTATTACGCGCACATCGCTAAAATTGGAGAGCGCGTTCAGTGGCATAACTTCTCGAACCATATATCTTTTAATCCGATGACCACAAGACCACACCCTGCTTGGCAACGTAGTGGCATTAAAAAGTATAAGCGTTTTCAAGCAACAAGTGCTCATGTAAATCATTTAGTGGCACAATTCAACTGTGTCAGTTGAAACTGCCAGTAATTTGAAGATATTACAGTAAGTCTGCAAATAAAACTACTATGGAGGGTTGGATACGTTATATTATAACGGTTTTGAATATGCAAATAAGAAAGTCGCAGGAAACCACAGCTGATACAAAGACGCAGTGGAACGGAATGTATAAGAACTATATTTTGACGTTTAGTGTTACGTATATAATGTGATGCTACCGAAAATTGATCTCTTTTGGTAAAGGTATGTAACAGCCCTTTCCGACGCAAAATATTTATACACTCAGATCATAAAGATGTGTTCATATTGAGGATTTTGAATTCCTAAGACAGTGATATATCCTTGTACGTAATCGCATTGGAAAACAAAGGAATATGAATAATTCTAGGGTACCAGGATCATCCAGAAAAGACCTGCGACAAGTCGCAACCTAGCTGTTGCAATCAAACTGTGACGTCTTGTAGTGGGTACTAATCCACGAACACAAAGATTAATGGCAAAAGCCACATAACCCAGGCAAAAGTTCGCAACATGATCAAGAAGAAATTCTGTCTGTAAAGGCGACACGACACAAATCGCGTGTTCTCAAGTTGTTGTCCTCCAGTGGTACAGCGGTAAGTCTAACGATTTACAACGCTAAAACAAAGGTTTCATTCCCCCTCGGTGGACACAGCAGATAGCCCGATATGGCTTTGCTATAAAAATCACACACACACTCAAGTTGTTTCCACGACATGTCCGTTTAACCGTCACACACCTCAAGTAGCTGGAGAATAAAACGGGTATTAATGCTATTACATACAGAGACATACCGGTAAAACGCCAGAACTCAGCGCCTAAGGATGTCTGCACGATTAGACTGTTGAAATTCAGGAAGGGCGTGCTTTGGACATGACAGTCTTACGATGGAACCTTTTAAAATGAAAACTACGCTGCAGGGATATTGTCAAGATACACAGTTGTCAGATAAAGTATGACCAACAGTAGCAATACGGGCTGTAACGACGTGATGAGGCTCCAAAGTCGTTTTAACATAGCGTACCCAACCTCTGTTCCTTAACAACTGGCACTGTCTACCATTTAATCGAATCAGATTGACATTAAAAGTTATAGTGGTATTCAATAGCAAGTGACACAGCACAACAAATAATCGATCTATGGTGCCGTTAGAAATGTAAAGCGTTATTCAGTAGCAACTGACACCTTGCATCATTTAAATCACCATGTGACTTTAGAAGTTATGAAGTTTTCCGGTAACGAGTGCCACTGACTGTTAACTAAAAAACGTTATTCAGTTGCAAGTTACACAGTATGCCGTTTAAAGGTATTATAAGTTAAACCATTCTTCAGTGAAAATAGATACAGTCAACTATCTGGTGGTTAAAGTTTGTTGAATCCCTGCCAGTGCTTTCGAACGCAGGTTTCAAGTGGGACAAGTGTATCAGAATGGTGACCCATTCCCTCCCTGGACGGGATGACAGTCTATTCCAGATTAACCACCAGCTAACAGCTGGTACCTATCATACAGCTGAGTAGACTGGAACAAATGGGGTAAAATGTTTTGCTCAATGAGACAACAGCATGACAAGAGCCAGCCTCGAACTCGCAATCATTCGACTACGAGTCCAAAGCACGAAGTCACTGAACCACCCTGCCCTTAAATGGTGGTACTAGCCTAATATAGCAAAAATTCGTTATCCAAAAGTGACACTATAACATTTGAAGTTTCTAAGGTGATATTAGGAGATCAGGTGTTATTATTCAAAAAAGACCTTTGTGGACCATTTAGTGGTACTAAAGTCATATTAACATGTTAAAACATTCTTTGCTACCAGGCGACACTGCCACTTATATGGTGATACTACAGCGAACTTAACAGATCAAATTGTTCTTCAGTAACAAATGGCACCATCAACCACTTCATGTTACTAGACTGTAACGAATTAAAACGTCACCACTGGAGAGCTTGCCCCTAGCAGCCTCCATCTGAAATATAAGGATTTAGTCTTTTAATTATTTAGAATTATTCCTACATTACGGAAGTGTTAATGTTTTTGGACGGGAAGAAGTGCATCCAATCAGATGAGACCTAGGGAGTGGGTTTAATGGTAGTTTGAAACACTATCAAACCGCAAGGAAACTGTGAAAAGAGAGGGAAAATTCGACTATGATATAACCAAGACGGAATTTCTTTTCAGTTGCATGTGACAAGGTCAACCTTCCGATAACACAGTAACATACAAATTATTTTTATAACAAACCGACATTAAAATGATATAATATCCTTTGTTTCACATTATGGCATTTCACTGCTATATTTTAATATGGATTACACTCTTATTATTGAAAATAGACATACACTTTACTTGTATCTAAAGTATTATTAGACGAATGTCTTTTTTCATGTTTGTAGTGACTTCAGGAAAAAGTAAACCTTTTTTTTTGTTGTTTACGGCAATACAAGAGACCCGTTTAAACGGTATGACCTTATCATGAGTTAATTTATTTCCCTGAAATGTTTTATGACAAGAGACCCGTTTAAACGGTATAACCTTATCATGAGTTAATTTATTTCCCTGAAATGTTTTATGACAATTTTTAAACTACAACACTAGTTCAACGAAAAAATAACTATTACAGAAGATGGGGAAGATGAACAACGAGTTTGAAGTACAGGAAATCATTGAGTTTATTTTAACACACCAAAATAAATATAAAAATCACGACAAATGAATATATAAGACTTATTTATCGGATAAAATAAATAAATATTAATCTGATAGTTTAAATGCAAGTTCCTAAGTGGCTGTTGGTTATAACAGATATTTTAACGCTTCTTGCGATAACATCACATAATAGACTATACTTGACTTCCTTGTGATAACAAATTCAGTGTGTGATAGTTTGTAAGGTCGCTCATCTATAAGGTAACATACAGATCAAAACCCTTTACATCTTTGTACATCATCATCTCGACTTGGTTCCATTCTGAAATGTAGCACTTAATCACACTTATCTTCACCACTAGGTGGCGAGAGTTAATTCTGAATTATAGCTAGATTTTTGTAGTGATCAAATAAACCAATTGAAATTAAAGCTAATCAGGAGAGGGAAACGTAAACCAAGTGCTTAAATAGTGATAAAAATATTCACTTTTTAAATCTATTTATTCTCATAAATACATTTACATTTATCTATTGTGAAATATCAATCTAAATGTTTTCTAAATCATTTTCAAATGCTTCCAAATGTTCACCAACAGAAACCCATATCCATGTTTCTCTAATATTTTATATTTCTATATCTTAAATTCGGTTCTCAATTTCGAAAAAAAAGCAACATCTTACTTCTACAAATAAGAATTTTGAGAGAATGTCTTTCCTTATTTACGCGTACTAGAAAGGAAAAATAAATTTCAAATTTTCAACTTTTAAGGTTTAATCTCGTCAGTAGGTGGCACACCAGAAATCCAAATATTTTCATTCTCTGTATCTTATACGCATGCGCTCGCCTGGAGTGACTAGGTGATAAGCTCCCAGTTTCACTTGGACAACATTGCCCACGATAGATTTTATCACTTCAATACCGGCATATTCATGGGTATTTAAAAATTATATACAAGAATTGATATTATCTAGGATTAAATAATAAATAAAACTGAAACGGTCAACTAAAGAAAAACTACATTAACTGCATGAATTCAAAACAAAACTAACAAGAGTATTGACGTAAAATACATTCAGAGAACCAACAACTGTTACAAATGCTTCAATTGGATTTATAGTTTAGCAGACGACTTTTATCGTAGTGAATTAAATTGTTGTTACCTATATTTTACGTTGTTAGCTTGACCCTGATAATTGTTTTTCGTAAATTACGATACTATTGTTGTTTCCTCATAAAGTAATTCTAACAGCTCTATAAGTAAAGACATACGATTATCGTCGTATATCCAGTGTATTGTTATATTTTATATTACTATTTTAACTCTACTTCTCAAATGGGCTAAGCAACAGAAGAGACCTCTTTCGTAAATAATTATACTCTTATTTATTACAAATGACTGTACTAACTCAAAATTTGGTAGGGCATATTAGGAGACTTTCCTCACAAACTATCCTAGTCATAAAACTTACCGCTTTTATTTGTGAAACTTGAAAAAGTGCAACGAATAAGACAAGAATCCTAAAAAATAAAAAAATAACATTTTATTAGGAAAGATAACGTCAATTTCGTCCGAATATATAATTACAAAAAAAATATATTATGATTTTTTTGTCATATAAGAAACTAATCTCGATCCTTGAATTTTAATTTCTGAATAACACATGTTAAAAACCTAAAAATCTCTCACATAAGTAAAGTTATCTTAGACAAAAAAAAGGTTCAAATTCTTACATACCACTTATACACTGATCTAGAAGGAACTCGTCCAAATGTCCTCTCCATGATTATCTTGGGCTCCTGCACCGAGTGCGGGATCGCCACCTACAAACCCCCCCAAATAATACTTTATGCTACTCTTATGAGAAATTAACGAACTTCATGAAGCAAGTGTTAACAATGTTGGCAACAAATTTCTGCGGCTACATATAAAACTTAAAAAGAACTTGCTTTCTAAAACACCAAATGTCTAATCCGTTGTGGGGCAACTTTATTTCCACGCAGAGCAGCGTGTCACCGCAAACGTTTGATAATGCTAGCCCACACTTTTCGACCAAACTAAGCAACAAGACATCAGGCTATGGCTTCAGGGGCGGGATTTCGCCTGTCACGTGAATAAAAGTTTCATTCGTACAGAGTTAAACATAAGAACTCGTGTTTTTATTTTAATTTTCATTCAGTTACTAAACATATATTTTAAAATTACTGAGCGTGAAATTGCTGGATAAGAAAGCTTATAAAATGTAAAACAGTGATCAAAACTTATAAAGTTATAAACCGTAAGAAACAAAAACAATTTAACAACTACCAAAGACGAGTTTCTATTGGGTAGCATTTTGTCAATCATTTTGATCAACTGACCCACCTACAAGAAAATGTTTCTAGCATTCAATCACAATTTCTCGACAAACCACAAGCTTGTGCAGTACTTCAGTGTTTTGTAGATTAAAATGCAATATTCACTATAAATATTCATAGGGTTTATTGGTAAAATATAAAAGAAAAGGAAGAACGCGGGAATCGCCTAAAACCAAGAGCAACTATACTTCTCAGTGAGGGCGGGGAAATCAGTAACATTTGATTGTTAGGTTACATCCATGTGCTTTCGCTGGCCAGACGGCCACGGCATGGGAGATTGACGTGTTAGGACGAGAAGATTGGAAGAGAAAGGGGTTTTTCAATACTAAACATTTTGGGTTCGCCGCGCTCTGCGGCTTTCCAAAGCGTTCAAAGATTATTATTTTCATTACCAACATGAAGTTTAAAAAAGTATTATTTTGCCAGTTTATTGCATTGTTTTTTCTTCTTCTCCTGATCGAGTACAGTGAGGCTGCGGTGAGTACTGATTACCTAAAAGTCCTAAGAATGCTCGGAAGTATATTAATAACTTATTTAAAGATTATGTATGTATATATATATATATATATATATATATACTAACTTATTTGTATAATAATGTGTGTGAGTATACATATACTGCTCGTACCGTACACTCCGTCCGTTCGGCCGTACAGCGAGGTATTCTTACTACGCATGCGCTCGCC